TTGGAAGGTTTCAGTGGTCTCAACAAGGTAACCTGTACACCAATTGTTGCCCCAACAAGCTCAACTGCGCCAGTAAGTTATCCATTTCGGCTTCTCTGCCCAAAAGAGGGAAATGTGCGAGCCGTTCGGCTCCATCGAGATCTCGGAAAACCTCCGGAAAAACTCTGACGTTACGGCTTTCTGGGCATTCTGTGTGTCAAACCCCTTACAACAGGGGTTGTTGTCGGGTTCTGTTCGCCCAACCTGGGGCATCTTTTGAATCTACCGCTCATTTACGGATTTTTGAAGAGTTGCGGGTAGCTCATCATCGTGCGCAAGCACAAAAGCGCGTTGTGTGTTACGAGTGCGTTGTGGCCGACGTGGTGGCCGCAATGACGGATTGTAAAACGTAGCTGCGCGTCGCAAGGCCATTTCACCTCGTAAAAGGGCATTATAGCCTCTTAGCGACTCAGCTGCTTGGGAGTTGCCAAAAAAGATCAAACAAACGCTCGACGAGTTACGCAGCACTCCAAGAAAGGTCGCTCCGATTTCAATCCCCCAGCTACAGAGGCATGACATGGAGTGCAGAAATGGTAGCGACCACATCGCTGACTGGATGCGCAGCCCTGAAGCGCTTTGTATGCCCCCTCACAACTTGCACTCTACGAAAAGGTGACAATTATGGCATACTGTAGTAGTGTCAATAGTGGGTTTGCGGTGAAATAATGACGGGTTAAATCATATCAGACGAGCCGACGCCTGGAGGCTCTGTTTCGCCGCAGGGTTACAGTGGGATTGGAGATAGGGCTTGAAACGGTTTCCGTGGGACAAGTGGGAACACTTGGGAGTCTCCTGAGGGGTACAGCACATTCTATCGGTTCATAGGCCTCCCCCATGGTCAGTAAGAGCTATCCGCATCCCTAACATGGTAGCCTTTTCTTTTTTGCCAGAGCCTTTCTGCTCAGTTTCTGCTCACTAACGGTGCAGCCCTCTATAGGCTGCAGAAATACATCTACAGACCTCCTTGAGCACAAAACTCCTCCATAACCCAAAGAAAAATGCCTACACGTTAGGGATTCCCGTGGATAGCGCTCTGAGGTCTTGGAATTTCCAAGTTTTTTTCAACCAAATGGGCACAGTTCGGCTTGGTGGGGGCAGCAAATGCGACGTTAGTGAAGCCCTGTAAAGTCTTACGACTAAAATGGCTTCCTTGTACCGACTCCCAGCTTCACAAGAATTTACCTGCTAGACATGTAACGGTAAGAGCTGGAAAAAGTGGAAAATGCTCCTCCCAAGCCGAGCGGCGCCCCTATACGTTTCCAAAAAAGCTAGTAGGAAAGATCATGTATGCAGATATCATCACGGTTGGTTAGCTCAGATGCCTCATTAGGAGAATTCATGGTGACTTTAGCCAGACTTGGGAAGAAACTAGATCGAGAATAACAATAAGGATGGTCCGAATCTCAAAAGGACACAGAAATAAGTACAAATCAGTTCCAAAGGAAAAACCGCTGTACCGTACGAAAAAAGAGATTTTGCATAGATTGAGAAATTTAGAGTCACGACAAGTTCGGGTTAAGGCGGAAAATAAAATCCGATAAAACCCGAAGGGCAATCAGGTCAGGCAGGGCAAGTCGTTTGTTTGGGATCCTCGGCGAGGGGGACCGTATTTGTTCGCTGAAGGGAGGGGGTCGTATTTGATTTTGTGGAATATTTTTGGTCCCCTGGCTTTTCTCGATTTTTCCTGCTTCAGTGCGAGGAAGGAAAGTTGGGAAAGTTTAGGAGGATGAAAGATAGGAAGACGGAGGAGGTCGTACCAGAGGAGGAACTTTTAGAAGAGGGGGCAGGGTCGTATTTTGTGGAAAAAAACCTCAAAGGCACCACATCATGATCAGGATAAACCGGCTTTTTGGCATGAGAAAGTGTGTAGTTCAACAAAGTGCCCTTAAGAGACCCTGTACGTACCGTAAGACATCATCCACGGATAGCCTACATATTGTTGGATTCTCATGCAAAAACCCGTGGAAGGAATGACCTCGCAACTTCCTGCTGACATGCTGACAACATGCGCCATCAGATAACCGGCATATGTTGTCTCACGTTGAGTGACATACTCCCTGATACGATCTACCACCTGCGCCCCAGCGAATTGTGGCTCTTCGAACCGGGACTTGAAATCTGAGGACGAACTTCTCTTCTACCATCAGGTGAGTTACAAATGAGTTGGAAGTGTGATGGACGCTCTCAGAGAGCTTGTAATGCGACACATGTCATGTCTTTTCTTTCTCTTTCAAGGACCCCCATTGTGCGTCCATGTGTCTCGTCGGTCTGATCAGATCGGGGTGCACAGCTCAAGTTACTACAGTAACCACACTGAGACCGTCAGGAATGGCAGGCAATTTGTAAGAATCGATAAATGTCGAAATCGCATAGATAGCTAAGGAAAGATAACTGATGAAAGAGCTGTAGCTCACCTGGGTTTGAGTGAGGCCGAGCTCAGCAGCCAGGGAAGCTCGATCCGGTAGGGCCAAATATTGCGTTTTGGTGAATCTGAAAAGGAAAAGTTGGTCTGATGGGTTAATAGATGGCTGTATGAGGCCCACTTACCGCTTTTGAAGCGTTTGTAATTGCTGACTAGAGTAGATAGTGCGTGGTTTTCGGACCTTCTTGCCCTTGCCATTAATCTTCACCTCACCGCCTTCGATAATTTTCGTCGTCATTTGATCTGGAAGAAAACGCGCTCCAATCATCACACAATCATCATCACTAATCACCGGTAATTGGTACGCCGTAAAAGCGATGTTCAATAAGAGGGGGAAAAACTGTTCAGAAAACCCACACAAACCTTCCGGTGAACTGGCAGCTGCTTGTGGATACATGAAATGAGCAGGCTGTTGTGAATACATCGTTGAAGCGGTACTGGTAGAGAAATTATAGAAATATGGTGAAACTTGGGATCGAGCCGAGAAATCCTGAGCAGTAGGGTAGCAATAGCTGCCATAATCGACAAATGGCTTCTGATCCATGTCCATGTCTGTGTGTGCAGGGCTGTGCAGGAGTATGGGCAACAGCTGACGATCGCCAACTACACGGGAACAAACGAATGGAGCAGCAGTCAGAGGCTTGCAGTGAGAGAGAGACGGTGTGTGTTAGTCTTCGAATGGTGCGCAGTCTATGTGCGGAGGAGGGCGGCGCTCTGCTATTGGACGGCGCCCAATGTGGCCCTAGGCCAAACCCCGCCTCCTGCGATGACACTCCGAGACTCTGAGGCTGAGGCTCTCATCATCATCAACTACCTTATCAGTACAAAGTTCAGTAATAGAGAAGCATTGGGAAGAATCAGCTGGTTCTTTAGAATGTGTCTTAACTACGAGGGCGATTATACCACGGGCGCATAGTTAGCAAATTACCGCTAGAATCAGCAATTTCGGACGATGGTGGTATTGCAGCTAATTGGCGGGGGGACCCCCGCACACACCGGCAATCTTCTCCCGGAGCGTTCGTCGGCAACTGCTGAAAAACCCGCTAATCATCTGGTATGATAGGAACCGGAGTGGTCTGTTAAACCTCAAGGAGTCAGCTGCCATCAGCCCCAGCGCGCCCAGGCAAGCTGCACTGGCGGAAGTTCGACTTGCCTCAAAAGGGCATTGGCGATTGTTAGTTTACCCGAATGATAAATTATCGGATGATTGGGAGAAATGGGTAATGATTGTCATAGAGCGAGTGGATTCTGGAGAGCTTGGGCAGCGTCAGACGTACTGAACATGCGGCCACAGCGCCCCGTTCAGCAGCGTCAGAGAGACGAAATTGCTCGCAAAATGACACATAATTTGCGGATAGTTGCTAATAATTGACCGAGGCGAGCAGTCCAGTACGCCCTTCAAAGTCGCCCCCACCACTTGCATTGTCGCTTCACTGTCTTTGCTCTGATCTACCTGGCCCTGAAATCTGGCGCTACCTTCGCCGTCATGCCAACGCTATCAGTATTCATTGAATTTTCTATCGCGATTTCATTGAATCAAGATCAGGGCGCAGTTCGGGCTTGGTGGGGGCAGAGCAAATTTCGTGCTCAACATAATTGCCTGCAGCAGGCCGAACTTGATGAAAGACCCTGTAGATTCTGTGAACGCAAAGTGTTGTCACCGCAACGATTTCGCCAGCTTTGTGAGAAAGCTTTACAGGTCTGACGCAAAGTGAGACCCGCCGAAATTAGTATGTGCCAACAACACACGAGCTACGAAAATAGTCAAAACGTCCCCCTCTTAGCCGATAAAAGCCCGTCAGAAACTCTTCTCGTTCTGATGCTGTTTGCCGGTCGGACAGCATCCGCTGCGACTTTGTCGCCCACTGCGTGGCTTCGGGTTTGGGCAAGATTTGAGAAACTAAGCGCGAGGCTTAAACTATGTGAATTTTCCGGTGAAAAGGGCCAAATGGCTGAACCAGGCCTTCAGAAAAATGATTCGTACAGAGCTCGTAGAGGAAAGGGGGGGCGGGGTTGTTTAGCAGCGGACTCTGGTCCCTTCACCAAGACGCGTTTTGGAATTTCAAAAGAGGGAATTAGTAACCTTGGAAAATCTTATCTAGTCTAGTAATCTCTAGTGATTTCTTTGGTCTAATGGCTTGAGCTTGAGCTTCAGTGGTCCTTTTTTAGCTTCTGAAAATTAGGCGCAGGGACTAAGTTCAAAATACCCCTGGGCCATTTAAATTTGCCCCGTTTCCTTCTTTTTTTCCTCGATTCGCTCACTGATCGGGATTCCCATGTGCGATTTACGATGTCCATCCCGACTACGATGGTCCTGGTCCCAAACGCTAGTGCCAGGCGAGAGCGCTCTGGCTCTGGAATCACCAGAACCTCATTCAAAACATATTGGTCATAAATTGAAACGGGAAATTTCTTCCACACTCGCATTTTCTGCCAACCAGCCCCGTTCTGCCATCCCGTTCCTACAGCAGTCCTCAATTAACTGGTAGAGCAAGGTCGTCAGCGCGTTTAAATTGGAACGGCTGCCCAGCCAGACTCAACACCAGGGCCTGAACCCCGTGGAGCCAACGAACGCCCGGAACATTCGGCGACGACCTTTTACGTCTAAGCGCCAAATGCGCATTCCGCTACTCACACACACTCGCACACACACAAAATTGCCACCCGCAAAGCAATCGACAAAATTACCGTATTATTAGCAGGTGATTGGCCGTAATTTGGTGGGACTCGATAATTTGCCCATTTTCGCTCTCTCCCTCGCTCGCCTCACAGCCAGTCGTTTTCAGGCTCAGCACCGCGAGCTGTTCTTCGCCAGCGGTCTGCTAGACGTATTGGCTTTTGTCTTGATGTTGTGGGTGAGCTGTAGCATCTGCTGCAACTCATCATCGTGAAGTGTTTCAGATCTCGTTGTTTTCTCTTTTTTTTCTTCCCAAGCCCTTAGTCGCGCTATTATTAGGGAAGCCAGTTGCCTCTTACCAGAAAACCGCTGACTTCTTTGTTGCTACCATCTCACAAGAAGGGCCCAAAATGGCCTAAAAGTCAATATTTCAGCATCAAATATAGCCCATATGGGTAAAAGGCCCCATACCGCCGAGCCCACTCCACCTGAACGTTGATTTGGATCGAACTTTCTCTCCCCATCTCAGCTTCTCCTCGAGTCAATGCGA